AGTAAAGAGATGCCAGGGGGAGAGTACAGTGTTGAAATAGAGGTCTTTGAAAAGCTCTCTAAAAATCAACAGCTCTTGATTTCTTTATAAAACCCTTCTATATACATGCCTATACCTGAGAAAAATTCATGAAATTGTTAGGCCTGGTTTCTATAAGCTACACTAGCTATAAAATTGATAAGTAGTCAAGTGTTAAGGGTGAACCTTTCTGTATGGTAGCCTGTAAATTGCCATGCATTATTACTTAAAGGCAAACTTCTATCACTATGCTTATCGTAGTGGGTGAAATGCTACAGCTATATGACATTAAGCAGTATTCCTGATTTTGCATTCACAGAACATACATGGGACCAAAAGTTGTAGGTTAAATCTAATGTAACAAAATAGATAATTCAATTCACAGGTTATAAAAGGCAATATTAGTTTATTTCAAAAAATAGTAATGACTTACAATCATGATAACTAAGTTTTACTTTCAGATTTTCCAGAGGAAAAAATAATATGAAATAACATGCACTACCATTTGCTCTATACCTTCTTAAAACTACTTTCTTAAATTAGATTTTTATTTTATTTTTTCTCAAGATGGAGTCTTGCTCTGTCACCCAGGCTAGAGTGAAATGTCACGATCTCAGCTCACTGTAACCTCTGCCTCCCAGATTCAAGCGATTCTCCTGCTTCAGCCTCCTGAGTAGCCTCCTGAGTGTGCCACCACGCCTGGCTAATTTTTTGTATTTTCAGTAGAGACAGGGTTTCACCATGCTGGCCAGGTTGGTCTCGAACTCCTGGCCTCATGATCCACCCACCTTGGCCTCCCAAAGTGCTAGGATTACAGGCATGAGCCACTGTGCCCAGTCCTAAATTATGTTTTGTTGATAATACATTTTAGTTTTACTTTGAAAAACTGACTAGATGAAAAGTCCGCAGTAAAAATGCCCTGATATTGCTCTGGAAAACGCAAGCCATTTCAAATGATCAAGACTTTATCTTACTGAAATTCTCTGAATATTAGTAACTATGTGAAAACTTTCTTTTTAACATTAACTCTTAGACAAAATACCTCACTAATGGAGAAATTGTATCTATCATGCTCATTATGCTCGTCACGACTTAATCCAAAAACTGGTACATGGTGGATACTCAGCAGAATTAATCTGCAAAATGTCCATAACAATAAATAATAACAGTGAGTTTGATGGTTGGGTAGCTTAAGCTCTTAGTAAGGATAACTTTCTGGCTTAGTTTGGAGAATAAATGAAAACATGTCCTTTAATTATGTTATGATGTGCAAGTGTGTGCATACAAATCTCTTCCTCTACTTCACAAATACCTGGCATACACTTGTGTAGACATACCCTGTCATGGAAATGGAATTCTAAAAAAATATATGAAGGAGCAATGAGAAAATACAGTAAGTAGCTAGAGAAGAAAAACAGTACCACACACAGAGTTCTCAGTACCACTTAAATACATTGATAATGCTTTCTTCAGTCAGTGGAAAAATAAATATCTTTCTAGTTGGCCCTGACATTTGTGAAAATATTGCCTGCAAGAAAATATTCATTAAAATGTTCATGAAATAAAATTAAAGGCTGAAGATATAAATCTCTTCAAAGCCACAGTGAATCTACAAACCATCTGCTATACCTGAAATCTGTTTTCCTGTTCTCAAAGCATCAACACCACTACCCACTCCTTCGTTTTCTCCTCTTTTGAGCTCAATCCAGTTGGGTGGGCCAGATCTGTGCTAATCAACACCTTACAGGGCAGACAGATAATAAATGAGCGTGTCCTTATGTGTTTACTTCTTTTTAACCACTCTTAGCAAACCGCCTGCTGCCAAAACTTTCTAACTATTCTACTACTCCTTGGGCATGCTGATGGCTGCAGCTTTCAAGTCTTGAAATTATACATAGGGCTCAATACATATGCAATTTACTCTAGTTCTACAAAGTACCATAAGAATTTCACACTGAAAATAATTAGTAGTGACCTCCTAAAGGAAGCTCCCAAAGAAAAATCGGATGGAAAAACTGAAGCTGACCATGCTTGGTTCTCTCTGTCAAGGAAACTCTCTGCAAGATAACTGTATATGGTTCAAGAGGAAATTATACCAGAAGCAGCAGCAGCTTAGTAACAAGTAACAGTAAAGCTGGAGTAACATTTGGTTTTTCTGGACGCTTGGGAGAACAGGCAGGAGGATTTCCTAAGGATGAAAATAAACACTTCAAATTAATGGGTTTGCAACCATTGTCTTTATTTGCTTTTGAAACTCTCCTGGTACTCAATGATGGTCTTTTAAGGTTATGATTAAGTAAATTAAGGAGGCTTAACAGCCTCACGGCATTATCAAACTAGAAACAAAAAGCTCATTCCACATAACTCCCCAACCCATTTTTAAGTCTATAGAAGTCATGCACACGCCCATCTGTGGGATGATAAATACATGGCATGTATGCTGCTTCTCTTTCCCTGGTGCCCCAGAAAACACAGCAAGTTGATAGTGGCATTATTTTGCTTATTGATCCGAGAAGGACCTCAGAGCCCAGTTTATGGAGTGATTCATGCTGCCACCGTAACTGAAGAGAGAGACTATGTAATATGATTTACCATCCTCGCCACAGGGGTAAGAGGTCATTAGGCTAAATGACCTCTACTGAAAATACAAAAAATTAAGAGTAAATACTGCATGTCTTTTCCATTCTCAAACTTGTTTTTACAAGTGAAATGAAGACCCATAGATCATTTGGTATGATTGTATTTATATGAGCTTAGAGTTTTTTTTCTTCTCTCCTCCTCCTTTATCTTTTATTAAATAATTTAAAAGCAGAATTGCTATTATTGATTATATGTAGCAATTCAGGAAGTTGGGATACACAGTATGATGTGAAGGGGTGGCAGCCAATGCAATATTTCATTGTATTAAGAAAATGAAAACAAGGCATCCCTTTATATATTGTGCATTATATTAAGTAATTTATACATTATTTCTAAGATGTAACCATCTGGTGAAAAATTTATACCTCATTTCTATTTTATAGATGGAACAAGTTATTTAACTGGTAGTTGAGCTGGCTATTAACCTAGCTCTATCTCACCTTAGAGCTCACAGATTTGTGATCACATTCACAATGAGAATAAGCTTCAGGGACTGGCTGGCCTCTTGCAGATCATGTGATGTTTCTTATACACCATATCTGGAAGGCACATGGCCCCAGTAATAACATTTAATTTCCTCAGTTGTAAAAGCTATTTTCAAATTTTCAGAGCAAGCCATATGACATTGCTTTACTTTTAACTTGGGGTGGTTTATTGAATAAAAGATTAGGAAAGAAACGAATGAGCCTAATTTTTCCCCCTCTAACCCATTCAGAGTTAAGTTCCTCTTGTATCACTTTAAGATAAAAGACAATAATTCTGTCAGTTTCTAGGGACTTTGGAAGTCTCAATATGATGGTAGATAATAGCCCCCTTGAATCTCCTAGAAGAAAATTGCTATGCAAACACAAATTATTGTATTCCAGTAGAGAAATGATCCAACAAGCAGGTGCACATACATGCACATGCACAATTCATCTGAATGGAAGATACTGAGAACTTTTCTCGAGTTTGCTCCTTAACAACACTGAGATTATAGTCAATTGGCTACTTTCCAATAAAACATGAAACCAATTTTATTGCATCATCAGAAAGACTGACTTTTCGTGAAATATCGTAACAAGCAGCTAAATTCTAAAGTGTGGCCAACTTCCTTTAGATACAAAATTTATAAATAATTTTATATTATGATACATAATTAGAGAAGATTTTCATGATTACCTTCATGTATTTTAAGGAAAGTTAGATTTGCCAAGGGAATCAAGATCAATCAATTTCACTTCAACATACTTTATAGAAAGTTTAATGCAAAATACAATTCCAAATAATGAAATCACAAAATGCAGCACTAATGACAGATCCGGACACATAGACTGAAAGCAGGAAGAATATATTTGATGACTACACATCTCAGATTTCCTGGGATATTCCAGACTTCAAATATTCTTTCCCCGGGTTGCCAAAAACTATTGAAATGACCTAGGAATTTCAATATTCAGTGTGCAAGTTAAAATTTTCATAGAGTCTTTATATCCAAGAATGGTACAGAAATCTTTTTGAGTACACATATTCTGATTTTCTGACACAGAATATGTTGAAAACGAATCCAGAAAACAGTAAAGCAAAATAAACTTTACAAAAAGTACGATAAATCTCATTTAATGGTTGATAAAGAGAAAAGCAGCCCCTGGCATCCAGGAGCTGGTCTAGTACCCACAGGTAGGCTGTGGTGTTCTCCTGCTGAACATCAACAATTCCAAAGGACACCAGTATCAGACAAGACCACTCTGTGATCCTGATGGATCAAGACAGAAACAAGACCAGTCTGTAATTATGTGGCACACAGACAAAAACATGAACGTCACCCAGAGCACAAACATTACCCTCACCGCCTTCTGGCTAATATGAGTAGATGTGGCTTCTTAACCAGTCACAACTTTAGCTTCCCTCTGCTGGTCTTGCCTTCTAATTAAGAATTACGAAGACATTCAATCACAGAATTACTCCCACTTTCTGAATGCATCCAATTCAGAGCAAAGTTTTACTGCCTTGGACCCTTCCTTCCATCACTTAACACAAGACAAAGTCTTACAATAAGTCTTTTCTATCATCTTCTAAGAGATTCTCCCAGTTTATCATGGTCTGTGTTCTCCATCGTTATAAGTAAACAGACATAAATTTGTTCAACTACAAGTGTGTTCTGCTGGTCTTTGGCTGAAAGGAATTGATATAGTAAATACAGATGCATCATACCCCAACAGAGAAGACAGAATGTGCTCATTTGGCTGTAATAATGTCATTAATATCAGCTAAAAATATTAGGTTGGTACAAATGTAATTGTGGTTTTTGCCATTAAAAGTAATGGCAAAACCATTAGAAGTGATGGCAAAAACTGCAATTATGTTTGCACCAACCTATACAGTGTTCCTTCAAAAGATACTGCAACTAAAATTGGGATTTTGTGGACCACCATTTAAACACTATCTCTACCTGTTTTCTCAGTTCTCAAAATAGTTGCTTTAGGAAGCTGTGTGAGTAACTGGAAAATAAAATACCTGTTATGTATGTTGAAACTAAATGGGAAATAGTATGTGAGTACACATGTAAATTTGCACAAAATCAAAAGAAACAAAGGCTGAAATAAAAGGCCTATATAAATATACCACTCTTTAAATCACAGATAATACATGTGTTATAAAATTTTAATTTGAAAGTTAACATAAGTTAGGAAGATGCCACAGAACACTCACACTAGAAATGGAAGCGTTGCACATTAGCAGAAACAAGAGATACTTAACTACCCACTTTGAAAAATCGATCTTGTATCGATTTGAGGTCCATGGTGCTATAACTGACTACACCCGATGATTCTTACCGGCACCATGTAAAAATGTTATAGACTACATCGCCAAGGTAGTGCTTCTCAAACTTTAATGTTCAATACAAAAATTAGCCAGGCATGGTGGCAGGTGCCTGTAATCTCAGCTACTCAGCGGGCTGAGGCAGGAGAATCGTTTGAACCCAGGAGGCAAAGGTTGCAGTGAGCCGAGATCGCACCATTGCACTCCAGCCTGGGTGACAAGAGCAAACTCCATCTCAAAAAACAAAAACAAAAATGTTAATGTTCATATCGCCTGGGCATCTTGTTGGAAAGCAGATCTTGTTTCAATAGATCTAGAGTGGAGCCCACGTTCTGCCTTTTCAACAAGTTCCTGGGTGATGCCAAATGCTGTTGGACTGAGGATTGTGCTAAGTAGCAAAGACATAAAAATTAACTGTTATGAGGCAGGATGGGAAGTTTCTAGGGCCAATGTTAATACGTGCAATCACATACTGTATTGTTATTACAGTTTATGACAAGTCTCAATTCTTTGTCTAGAGAGGGTTGGGAGTTCTCGTTGGAAGTTCTCTGGCAACCAAAGGTTGCCCTGGCAGTAGTGAAGCAGCTGAATAAAGAGTCAGTTTCCTGCTGCATTAGCCGCTGCTCAGACTCCATCAGGGCAAAACCAGAATATGCCTTTTTTGAATTAAAGGCAAAAGAAACCTTTCCTTTAT